GACTTGATCTGACACTAATTTTTTTTCTGTGTATAAACACATGTAAAGTTCCAATTCGTCCCCCGTCAAACAGTTCAATTTTTACAGATCTTCGAACGAACATATCTAATTTTTGAAAAGTGCACGCTGTCATCAAGTGTTTGTGAAATGAGCTCATTTAAAGGTCTATTTTACATGTCATGAATGAGCATCTTTTACCGATAAGCCATGTTAAAGCTTTACGCTACAACTTGAGATTAACGAATTTGAAAAATTAAGGCGCCGAGGATCGTTTTGGTCTTATTGCGGTGCGATACTAATTTCGCATTTGCGGTCGTAGATACGTGCCTGTCTTAACGCGACAGACCTCTGTATGTTATCATACGTTCTCCCATTTGTGCGACAACTCGTCGCAATTTACATGTTCGCATTATCGCGAGCGTACGGCGATGTCTTTCGTAAACGTAGACGAAACGACGGGACGATAACGTACGTTTGATGCCGGCGATGCATAATCGGTTTGTTCCACCGAGCGACCGCGATTCCACACAGAATGGCGCGACTTCTGTTTGGAATGAAGTGAGAATACCAATGCGCGTGCCAGTGAACCATGAAAGGTCCTTTCGTTTCTTTTTCTTGCAATTGCGTAAGCCGTGTTCCTGCGTGGTACGTTACTGTCGCGCTCGCGAAGGACGTGCACAGAGCGTTGTTTTTAATCGTTTATGCGAGCTGTCGTTGAAAAGTGCAACGGACGAACGTGCCAAAGTAAACGCGAAACGTTTCGAGATTGCGAACACGGAGGAAAGTCTCCTATTATGAGGCAGGCACCTAATATGAGATAGCAGAGTCTGTTAAATTAACAGGTAGAGGTGTGACATTTTGATGTTATCTTTGTACGCAAAATATCGCAAAATATATGCCCCAGGAACGTTTTTAATGTCATTTCTTTACATTCTGGAGTCCCCAACTTCGTTTTGACACGTTTTTAAAACGCGAAATGATCCTCAACACCCAAAATAGCGTCCAAATAACGTAAAAAAATCGCAATTTTTCTTAGTAAACATTTCTGACGTCACCGTTGTATCCTAAACCAAAGAGATTTATGCCTAAAGCCAACGGTACACGATACTATTTTTCCTACTGGATTGCCCACCAGAACCAATAAGGATGCAGAGTTTTAGATCAGATGACTTGAAGCTAAATCCTGATTGGCTCTCGCTGAAAAGATTTGAAACAAAAATGTTTCAAGGCTGCAGTATCAAGCACCTTCTTATCGAGATCAGCTCGATTAATGGTGTCGTAATCACTAATCGGGTTTTACTTAATAATGCATGTCGAAGATTGACGCATGCCGCGTAATTTAAAGCACATTTCAGCTTAAGAAACTTGTGTTTCTCCATATCATCGTGCGTTCAGCGAGAAACACGGCCGGTCACGTAAAGAAAAAAGGTTGGATCGCGAGTGGATTAACATTAACAGCTTAATAGAAAAAGCGGACATAAATTGAACGGCAGTGCTGGAAAATCCCAGCAGTGCAATCCCGCTCGGTCACGTACGCCTGCAAAAACCAATGTGGCAAATACCGACGATAACGACGACAGAAAGGACACGTGCGTAACATTGACCAGAATCAGATTGACGTTACAGTCATTGCGTATTGTGTAGCTAAACGTTGCGACGACGCTATGTTATTGATCCAAGAATGCTATTTTCGCACTGATTTAAATTGATCCAGCAAAGAGGAAGATAATCCATAAAACAAAGTGGGCAAGCGAGACCCCTACAGAGTTCAGTAGGCAGAGCAGTCGCTCGAAAGTCCCAAGTTTCGAAGCCTGATCTAACCCGCACCCGTTATATCTCTCACCCAAAAGTTAAGCGACGTGTCCTTAGGACCGGTTTTCCCAACCACTCGGTAACCCCAACAAATAGTGAAGTTACACTATCTTCGTCTAGTTTGAAGAAAACACGAAGACGTACGTGTGATTGAGCTATTAGTTAATTTATCAAGAGCTTGGCACAACCGGCCCTTAAGTCGTCTCTCAATATTCTCTCCGATAAAAAAATATGTCTACCGAGTAAACACATAAAGTGCAATAAATCTTCGCGTATGACGTTGCACGTGAATTATCATGCAAAGCGTTATTTATTCTGGGATTGAATTCGCCGATCGCGGAAATGATGTTAAAAATTACGTTAACACATTATTGTCATATTAAAATATCCATCACCGGCGTTCGACTCTTTACTAAAGTCCCGGTAGTCACTGCTGATCAAAATTAAAACGAAATGCTTGTAAGAAAAACAATTGTGTCATCCAATAACTAAAATCTCTACACTGAAAAAAACTGGTTGAATATGGACGAATCAGATAATTCCTTTAGGATTTACCAGAATTCCTGTAATCCTACAGAAATTCTGGTAAATCCTAAAGGAATTATCTGATTCGTCCATATTCAACCAGAAATTTTTTTCAGTGTAGTGACGTGAATGTCCAAATAACTGTGTGAGGTAAAAAGTGCGTTGTTCGACTAGTACTTGTAAAAATCAACACAGTCTTATTCAGTCACATGGTACGTCATCATTATATGCGTATGGTAATTCACAATGAAACTTCCACGACGACATTCTATTACGACAAGGCACAAAACTCGCCGGGGCAGACGACGTTTTAAGCTAATAATAAGCTTATACTATTTACTTTCGTGCCGATGCAGCGGATCTAATTTTGCGTGCAAGAAAAAAAAACACGTGCTATTATAATCGAGATACCCTCGCATTATCTTATCGAGGCTTACTCATAATGAGGCATCGACGGCTGTTTATGCGATATTTATCGTTTCTTTGTGGTAATAATAATAGGTGCATTAGACTGATATCTATCCAAAGTCTTTTATCAAAGCATTTGGAGAGAGATAAACATAAGTTGCACTCTTACCGGAAATAAAACAA